CGCCAATAACTTACTTGAAATTATTACGATACCAGTGTTGTTTACCTTATGACCGTATGAAGATAACACAATAGGATAAAGTGCGACTATGTTGATAAATCTTGTAAGACGTTATTGTATTAATTAATTAACACAACAACACACAAGTTAATAGACTTTTCTACTTCCTTCTGGATGTAACGCACTCTAGGCCCGCCTCTATGTCCCTGACGCAAAAAGTTGTTCAGTTAAGTACCTAACGCTTAAAAAGTTTAAAAAACAAATCAGCTCAGATTTTCTGTATGTGTGTAATATTGCAAATTTTCATTGAATATTTTTGTGAGAAAATTCTCATATTTTCTCAGCTCTATTACCTACTCACACAGACTACAAAGTCACAGAGTTTTGAAACGTGAAATGTGAAGTTAAACATATCGAGCTTGGGTGATTTTGTATTACTTTTATGAAACTTAAAAGTCAGCAAGCGTACCTCTACCACGGTACAATGCAGGTACGAGTATGTGTGTGCTACGCGGACGACACACTCGTGACGGCGCGCGGCAAGACGCACCACGAGGCAACCCTGAGGGCCACGGCCGGGGTTGCCCAAGTCGTTGAGCGTATCCGGCGGCTGGGTCTCGAGGTGGCTCTGCACAAGTCCGAGGCCCTGTTCTTCCACGGGCTTCGGAGGAAGCCGCCTGAGGGATCTAGCCTCACGGTAGGAGGCACTCGCATCGGCATCGAGCCCTCGATCAGGTATCTGGGGCTCGTACTCGATGGCCGATGGGACTTCGGATATCATTTCCGAGGTCTGGTCCCCAAGTTGGTTGGGGCAGCGCGTGCGTTGGCGCGGCTGCTGCCCAACATGAAGGGACCCGATGACTCCTGCCGGAGACTCTACTCGGGGGTTGTGCGGTCCATGGCCCTTTACGGGTGCCCAGTATGGGCGGGGGCCCTGAAGGCCAGCAACGTCGCGATACTGCGACGACCGCAGCGAATGCTGGCCATCAGGATCATAAGGGGGTACCGCACGATCTCCTTTGAGGCGGCGAGTCTCCTGGCCGGAACTCCACCGTGGGACCTGGAGGCGAGAGCCCTTGCGGCTCTGTATCAGTGGCGCAAGGAGGCGCAGGAGTTGGGTCGATGCCCCGAGATTCGAGAAATCGATGACCGGAAATGACAACTCCGCCAGGTCATCATAGGGGAGTGGAGGGAACGACTCGGGCAACCGAGCGCTGGGCACGCCGTCATTGCGGCGGTAAGACCCGTTATGGAGGATTGGCTCGAGAGGCGTCACCGGACCCTCTCATACCGATTGACGCAGGTGATCACTGGGAAGGGATGTTTCGGAGATCACCTGTGTCTGATCCGCAAGGAGCCAACGCCTGAGTGCCACCACTGTGATGGCCAGAGCGTGGACACGGCTCTCCACACGCTGGCAGAGTGCCCGGCGTGGGTTGAGCAGAGGCGAGACCTCGTGGCGGCCATCGGAGTGGGAGTTCTCTCGTTCGATAGCCTTATTGCGGCTATCGTGCGGAGCGAGAGTGCGTGGAACTCTGCCGTCTCCTTCTGCGAGCAAGTTATGCTCGCGAAGGAGACGGCGGAGCGGGACCGGGAGAGGTTTAGAACTCTCCCGGCCCGCCAGGCCCGGGCACGGGCCAGGCAGCGCAGGCGACTCAGGCGCCGGAGGTCGCAGAACGACCTCCGTCCTCCATAAGCGCAGGCCTGGGGGTGACAGGTGAGGCCATCTGTCACCCTAGCAGAAGCAGGCCGGGGTGGCGGCGAGCGCGTTGCGAAGCGCGCTCGCTTCCAGGGAGCACAGGGAACATGGGGTTCCCACACGGGGCGGGGGTCGTCTACTCGTCTGTAGATGACCCGAGGTATGTCGGGGCACCAGGGACTTCCTTTCTAGGGTATACCTGGTTCCCCGGCTATTAGTACCCGGCGAAGGCGTGCGGTTTTAGTCGGTTCGAGTCCGACATGCCACCGACAGGTGGTATTCGAGGGGATTTCCGCACGGAAAAAAAAAAAAATAAAAAAAGGTACGAGTATGTATTTATGCGATGAAAAACCACGTGAGGCGAGCTGCAGACCAAGGTAATCCAGTATATTTAAATAGTTTCACACATATAAATTAGAAAACAATTATTATTTAACAGCACAAGATAGAGACTTCAATATTTAATTTCACACTTTACTAGTAAATTAATTAATTAAAAATTGTGTTCATCTTAGAACAGTTTAAACAATTCAATGTAGCAGACCTATTTCTCAGCGTTCCATGGATTCACCGTGCGGGTGCCGGGTCTATCGCGTGATAGATGCCGGCAACACATGCGACTTCGACAGCGCCTGGGAATTGCGACCCAGGTATAGGTTTAAGAAATTTAAGAATATTAAATTAGAAATTCAGGAAAAAATACGTAAATAAAAATTACATCATTGTATTACAAAATGGAGTACCGTAGTCAAGCTTACATTTAATAGGATATCGTCTGGCTCTTACTTAACACACTTGCGTCAGTTATATACTTGCATTTAACTGCATTAAATGAATAAAATGTACCCTTGCCGCCAACCACAGACTTAGTCACAATGCACTCGAAATAAATACCCACCGAAGATTAGAACACCAAGGCTAGGTTTTACTAGAGCTGAGAACATTAATAGCACGGGAATTAACTCGTAAAATAGGAGAGCATCTAAACCTTGTGGTGCCTCAGCATTGGCCATAAAGCGTTCAAACAATAGTTTACGATCTGAAAGTAGTTTTTATTTACAACCTCATATGTCGTTGTTTGCGTTTACAGTCTCATGTATAACAGTAAAATACAAAAAGTGTCAAATCAGATAACATTTTTTTCGTCTGTAAAGTTCGTCTATAAGAAAAATTTAAATAGTTTTTCCGACTTTAGTGCGTCTTAATAATGATAAATAAATTTTAATACTCTAACTATATATATATATAAATATTATAATATTCTAATAGCTCTAACTAATAATTATTTATCTCTTAATTTTCCATGGCAACATAGGGAAGGAATATTTATTCTGCCGAATATAAACATTCTCCTTTTAAAGACCGTTAAAATGGACGGTTTTGAAACTACATTGATTCGAATCTCAATAAAATTAGTTTTATTAAATTAGGTTCACATCAACGTTATCCAATCTATGAAGATTAGATGACGTCAATGTGAAGCGTGAGATTATTGCACATTCTTTATCTTTGATTGCATGTAGAACAATCTGTATTACTACTGCATAATATTTATGGGTTAAGTTCCTTTGTCTATTATTTGGGTTGTTGGCTGATATGATACTTTTTTAAAATATTATTTATAAGTACGATAAAGGTGGTAGAATTACAATTTTCATTTATTATTTTAGTTAGTAAACTGCTTAACGGATCCGCCGCGAGTCCGCCTTGGTACAACAGGTGCATTAAAAAAAATGTACATCCGTAATTAACACCTCTAGTGTGAAGTTCTTCTAATTTTATAATAGAATGACTCGACTCGTGTAATAAAAATTGTTTTTTTTTAAACAGAATTTAAAAGTTTTTAAATATTTTGAAGTTGAAGTCGGTAGACGTGAGTTTTTTACAGTTGAACATAATATACGTATATGCTTGTATTTCTACTACAATTTGTTTATATAATCGTTGACCAGTATCAATTGAATTGTAATTTACTAAATTAATGTAACACTAAATTTACGTTATGTGCTTATTACAAGACAATATAGTAGTAGTTTCGTAATATTTAATTTAAAACAAATTGATAAAAAAACTTGATTTCTGCATATCCTTTAACATTTTAAGTATTTCATGACTTCTTTCGTCTTCAACATTTACTTGAACGAACAGTACAAGAAAATTGCCTGCACTTATTATAAATTCATATAGGTATTCCAACAAATTCTAAAAAAATATATTTTTACTCTGTCAAAAATACTTATAGACCTGACCAGTGTTATAGCTAAAAACTTATAAATACTAATTATTAATACGAGCACTTTTGCTTTATTATGTCAACATAAAACGTAAAATAAATATAGGTATAGTAATATAGGTATAGTAGTATGTATTATTCCTAAATTCACTTGTTGCTGCAAAACAAGTTTACATTTTGGCTTTCTGCCAAACAGGCTTTAGTTGTTCAAAATATATTTTATCTGTGGTTCTTCAAATATTTTATTTGATTCTCAATATTCTTAATTTAAAAACTGTTCTATTTTTTAGCAAGATATATTGTTGTATTTAAGATGTATATGGTATAAGTAGGAGCGAGGGAGGTGATTTAAAATAACTTGGATACGTCAATTTAAAAGTTAACAATGTTTAAATATCAAGCCTTTAATGTTGTAATAATATCGACTTACAATTAATGGCAGTGTATGTATTTTATAAATTGTTCTCACTTGATCGTCAAGCGAATCAAAATCGATTTCACAATGAATCACACAATAAATGTTTCTTTAAATTTGGTATCAACGCCATCTATTTTGAATCATTGAAGCTAGTTTAGATATCACTAATTATGACTGGGTATTTTTACTAACAAATAAACAATACTGTTCGCACATGAATTATTTAACCCTATAAAAATTTCAAGATTTAATAACAATGTCCTTAAAATAATGACTCCGATTTCCGATTATTTTATTTACAGAACATTTTATCAGATATTTCTTTCTGTTGCGTAGTTAATTTGTGATCATGCAGAGTGTGAGCGTATAGGAACAATTCTTGTTGTTGTTCAATTGAAGTTGTACTTATCCAACGATTACATCATCTCTTTTTAAACTTTGACATTCAGAAAATCTTAATCACTTTACATGACTATCAACGAAATAACTGGATCAAGGTATATTCACTATCACAGCCTCCTTCTAACCATAATTAAAAGATAAATTAGCTCCCTACTAAACGATCCAATTAGATCATCTCTATTAGTGGAGCTAACATTTTGTAATAATTAATTTAGTTTTTAACGCTTTGGTTTCCAATTCCATTGACTTTACGCTTTTCTCTTCAGTTGATTATAGAAAGTGTTTGCAGCTTTCAACGCATCAAGTACGAACCTATCATCACATGGATTATCGTCAAAGAAAAAGGCACCACAACCAAGTGCCTCTGAACACTCTTCATTTATCTGGTTTTGTTTGCAGCAGCCAAGGATAGCTCGCGCACAGGGGGATAGTATTCTCGGCCTTTGGGGTACACCGTGCCTTTCCTGTATGATGTATACCAGTTCCTCGTAAGACAGGTTCGCTGGAGAGCTGATCGTGCTGCCGATTGTGTTTTGGTTGACCTCGGTAGCACAAAAGATTTGCGCGATGAGCATTGTTAGGACGATCATTGTCATAGGGGCTGCCATTCCTGCAACAAATACATTTAATTTATAATTTGTGTTCGGTTGCGTGAATATTATTGCCTCCCGGGGCTGTATTTCTTGTTTAGTGATACTGACTCCTAAGCCAGAAGTCATGGTTTCGAGTCTCATCTAGGACTAAGTGTGTGATAAGGTCGATCACTTCTTTTGTGTCTGGGTGTAATTTATCTGTAATATGTATGTATTTAAAAATATATATATGTAGTACAAACTCTGCCTAGTTTGGGATCAGACGGTCGTGTGTGAGGTGTGTGAAGGTCTTATTATTATTAAGTAACAATTCTTTACAGTGTTATCTGCGTTTATAGTCATTGTCTCAGATAAATAAGTAAGTACTCTATCTAATAGAAAAATATTTATTTAAAACTGTCTGATGGTTCCAGATATTAGCACGTTTACACAAACAAACAAATAAAAAAAAAGTGTTTAACAACTTTATTGTATTAGTATATTATTATATGTACATATACATGTATAACTAACTAATCGTGGGAAAGTCATGTTTTCGCAACAATGGACCGGCTCGACTGGAGTAATACCATGACCTCGCACAAAAATGTTGTTAAGCAATTGTATCGTTTCGTTTCACCGAGTGAGTGAGTTTCACATCACATCAACAGTCTTTAATAGTCTACTGCGGGATGTAGGCATCTATCTACTTAGAAAGGAGGTTTTGGCCTAGTACCACGCTGGCTTTGCAGTGCTGTTGTCCTGCGTAGTGTACTGCCTTAGTCGGCTCTTACGATGCCCACGGGATGAATAGGGGTGGTGACACTCCGGATTCTTAATCTGTCACCACACGGATAGTGAGTTTACTAGAGACCAAACCACAGCCTTTTTACAATACGAAGATACCCACTATCTTCGTCTTTGATTAACTAACATAAACTTTATGAACGAGAATGTTGAATCTGATATTTATTACATATTAAGGTCCCCTCTTACGTAGTGTAAGTAATGAATCATCAATAGAAGTTGATTAAAGGATTTCTTAAACTATTTCGAAACTAGACGAATATAGGTAAGATTTGTAATAAACTCTTTATATAATATAATACAAAAAATATAGTAAAGTAAAAAATATAATACAAAAAATAATAATAAAAAAAATTTTGTATTTACCCACGCGATATCAAACGTGATCTTGTATAATATGTATATACTTTAATGTCTGTCACCCACGTACTTGGTTTTCCCACTTGAGGACAACGTACGGTGCGCATGCGACTACGCTGCCATTTATGCGGCCTACTATTTATAAATGTATACATACAAATATCAATCAAGTTTGTTCCAATATTTGACACACTAAAATTAGTCAACCATAATTGTGGGCGAAATAAAGCAATGCTTGTTATGTTTGGGTGTATTTTGGGGCCAATGTTTGTTAACCTAGACCTTTGAAGTCTTTACATCACGTTCAATGTGAAGGTTAGATGCGACTGTGTTCGCGTTAAGTGAATATAATTAATGTCAACACGACATAACAAATATAATAAAATATTGTTACAGTTCTATATAAAATGTGATTAAATTATTTAACCCTCAATTATTATATATTTAAAGTAAATTTACGTACATTAATTCCAACTTATAATGGGTAACATCGTATTTCTAACAGTTTACACTGAAAAGAATTGACGTGTGAAAAAAATGATTTTATTTATTATTTTGACCACGAATCATTGTGTGAAAATCCTTTAAACACACAATGATCATTTCTGACTGTGCAAGTACAACCACATAACCTCAAAAAATTACGTAAAATAACTTCCTGTTTCAAAACTTGGCAAATCAAGATGAAGTGTCTTAATTAATATAATATGATAATAGCATAACCCATCAAATAACACTTACTGAATAATTTATTTTATCTTGAAGATATATTTGTCCTTTTATTCACAACAGGTTTTTATCACTTTCTCGAGCGACACGTCCGTCTCTTAGCTGGCTATTGTAGCATCTGAGTATATTTATATTATGACGGCCTTTATTTACATCTCATGTTTGCGATATTTTCCGCTACATGTGTGCGGTATAAGGCGGTATAAGGGGCTTTTTGATTTTGAGTGATGTCAATAAGAAATTTCGGGTAATCGTGGTATCGAATCTCAGAAAGCAAGCCAATATCAGTGAATAGGGAAAACCAAGATTTATATAAGTAAATTTCATTTCTGTGCAATCCTTGTTTGATTGTGATTACGTTATAAAGTTGTAAAACTAGTTTTACTAGTAATAACATAAATGCAAAAGTGAGTTGTTTCTTTATTTCTTAATCTCTCATGTTTTAACTATTTAAACGACCATCTTCATTTTGCATACAAGTTACCAATAGTACAGTGTTTATATGGACCAAAAACCGCACGCCGTCTTCAGGTACCAGTAGCCGGGAAACCAACGTACCTTGGGCCATCTACGGCTCATAAATGACCCCCTCCTGTGTGGGAACCCGGATGTTCCCTTCCTGCCCCCGACCCACCCCGGCCTGCTTCTGCTAGAGTGACAGATGGCCTCACCTGTCACCCTCAGGCTTGCGCTTATGGAGAACAGAGGTCGTTCTGCAACCTCCGGATTCTGAGTCGTCTGCGCTACCTGGCCCGTTATCGGTACTATATATATGGCGGAGCGGGAGAGGTTCAGAACTTTTCCGGTCCCGCTGCGCCATATATATGGTACCCTAAACCCAAAAAATAGTACTGTTTTTAAGGGACCTTGACTTTGTTGACAGAATTTATATTCATAAGAAGCCATAGGCAAAAGCTGGTATAAATAGTTAAGATTGATAGCACTGCCATGGAATATTTGTGTGATTCACAGATGCTGTTTCTAAGTATTGAGACAAGAAGATTGTATCCATGATGGCCCATGACACAGATAGTAGGTATTCCAATTAAATCAGCGATAAAAAACGTTTAATCTTCGACCGTTTTTATTCATATGCCTAAAGATTTATATGTACACTAGCTTTTGCCCGTGGCTACGTGGTAAAAGGTCTTTTCTCAAGAGTCAAACTATCTATATGCCAAATTTAATTAAAATCGGTTCAGCGCATCAGACGTGAAAGCTTCAAAGACAGATAGACAGAATTACTTTGCATTTGTAATGTTAAGTAGAGAAATAGAGACATTACTGGAATTTACTTAGTTCTATAGTTACGAAACAGCTTAGAATCAGGGTTTTACCACAAGCTTGCTACTACAGCTTAAATGATTGATGTTTGTCCATACTTCCATACTTATATAATAAATGTGAAAGTGAGTTTGTTTGTTTATTTCACTTTCACAAAAACCGATTATCAAACTCCTTTTGCCAATGGAAAGCTACATTGTCAGCGAGTAACATGGACTATTTTGTACCGCTATAATCGACTTACCGACCGCGGCCGGAATCCCGGGAATAAGCTATTACATGAAAATAATTTGAGACACTTTGTTCACGACCATCTGATTCTAAACAGAATAGGGTCTGGGACTAATCCCTCCCCCACGCCCACCACTGTAACTCCTGTACACTAGGATCAACATCAGTGACCTTCGAACACCGAGTAATGACACTCGAGAAGACCCAGGAAAAAAAAAAAACTGTCTTGGAACCCACAACGAAATTAATCAGAAGAAAATTAAACAGGGAAGCACCACGGCCACAAAATATTATGGGTCCTAAGTGAGCTATATTTGATTTCTATAATATGTATGGCAGAATCACCTAAACGCACGGAAGTTCACCCTAGTTGACACAAGATCCCCATAGTATACCGCCCCAGATGTCACCTTACGTTCATTATACCAAAGACTATATTCGCAGGGGATATGATGAGCAGACTGTTCACTGACTCGACTAATTTAAATGAATACAGCTTGCTCTTAAAGTTACCATGTAAGAAATTTACCAATGTAAGAAATTGAGCGACACAGTGATCAACCTTAAGCCATGTTCTCGACAACCATTCACGAACAGATCGAAAGAACTCTAAAGGTGGCGGCCCTTAGATGGTTCGTCCCAAAGCCATTCGTTATAAAGTTAACCTAAATAAGTAGCTCCGTATTTGATCTTTAGTGTATTAAATGATAGATGAGGCGCTTTCCAGAATAGAGCCTATACTACGGTGTCCAAACTTACTTCTTACTTCAGCCTGTTGCCGTCCACTGCTAAACTAAGGCCTCTCTCAAAGAGCGCCAACCATGCTGGTCTTCGGCAGTCCGCATCCATCCGCTGCCAGCCATTTTCCTCAAGTCTTCGGTCGGTCAGTCGAGCGCTCTACACTACGTTTGCCCAATGTCTCCACTCTATGTCGGCTCCAGCGACCATCAGTCAGACGAGTTTCAGCGTACTGATTCTCAGTGGAATGTCGGTGACTCCAGTTCTCTGTTGAATTGTTTCGTTACGAATTTTATCGACTAGAGAAACACCAAGCATCGTAGGCTCCATCGCCCGCTGAGCGGGTTTGAACTTGTGGATCAGTCCAACGGTCAGTGTCCATGTCTCGGCTCCGTATGTCATTACAGGTAGGACGCACTGGTTAAACGCCTTGGTATTTAGCGATTGCGGGATCGACGACTTGAAGATATGACGAAGCTTCGAGGCTGGTTACCAAACTGCTAATGAAAGAATATTTTGTAATAATATTGTTAAGCACATACAAATAGCAGATAAATTAAACCTAAGCACAAAAAATTGTTACTGTGATCATCACATAATTATATGTCCTGGGTGGGAATCGAATCAAAACCACTAACCACTAAACGTAGCCTGTCTAAATATATGGTTATATTATATTTATTACTATAAAAAGTTAAACATAAAACTAGGGTGCAATAACTTCACAAGGCCATATTGAGAGGCCGCAGTATCACTCTAGTCGAGCCGGGCCATATGTGACGAAGGATGGCTCACCCAAGATTATCACGGTTCTTTCACTACGTGTATATAAACTACATATATTTAAAATTTAT